TTTTAGAAAAATTTTTTGGATTATTTTTTTTTCCCACTTTTTCCCCAATATTTTTTCACTTTTTTTTTTTTTTGGAGCTTTTTTCAATTTTTTCCACAAAAATTTTTTTTTTCCATTTTTTTCCATTCTTTCAATTTTTTAATCATTTTTTCTATATTTTCCCATATTTTGGGATTTTTAAAAAAATTTCCTTCCATTTTTAATTTTTTTTTTTTTAATTTCTTTAGAATTTCTCTTAACTTTTTTCCAATATATCTCAAAATTTTTTTTCTTTTTTTTTCTTTTTTTTTTTTCCTTTTTTCCCCCTTTTTTTCCATTCCTTTCTCTATTTCTCTCCTCATTTTTGAGGTGTCCCCCTCCCCAAATTTTGGGGTCCCTTCAATCCCCCCCCCCTCAATTTTGGGGTCGCCATTTTAGTTTCACTCCCCTCCATTTTAAGACCCCCCCAAACTTTGTAACCCCCTCCTCATTTTTGAGCTGTCACCCCCCCCAAACTTTAGGACCCCCCTCCCCATTTTTTGGGGTCCCCCCCACCCCAAATTTGGGGTCCCCCCCCTTACCTGAGCCCCCCCCCAGCTGCCGGGGGGTGACAAAGGGGGGTCTCAGCACCTCGAAACACAGGAACAGCTCGGCCAGGAAAGCCCCAACATTCAACTGGGGGCACAGGGAGGGCTCAGGGGGGGCTCCCAGTGCCTCCCAGTATGGACCAGTATCCCCCAGTATCCCCCCAGTATCCCCAGTTACCCCTCAGTCCTCCCCCAGTTGATCCCAATTTTCCCCCTCAGGGCGGCCGCCATCTTCTCCCAGTTCATCCCAGTTCCTCTCATTGCTCCCAGTCCCTCCCAGTTCACCCAGTTTGACCAGTTTCTCCCAGATTCCCCCCAGTTTATCCCAGTTTCCCTCATTTTCCCCCAGTTTATCCCAGTTTCCCTCAGTTTTTCCCAGTTTCTCCCCAGTTTCTCCCTCAGGGCTGGCCGCCATTTTCTCCCAGTCCCTCCCACTCCTCCCAATCCTTCCCATTGCTCCCAGTCCCTCCCAGTTCACCCAGTTTGACCAGTTT